CTCCATTCCCTCCTCAGACGAGGTAAGGCCTCCCATGGGGAGTCAGCAGGGCCTGGTACATTCAGTTGAGGCAGGACCAAGCCCCTCTCCCTACATCAAGGCTGTGTAAGGTGTCCCACCATAGGGAGTGGGTTCCAAAAAAGTGAGCTCATGCACCAGGGATAGATCCTGATCCTACTGCCAGAGGGCCCCTTAAACAGGTCAAGCTACACAAATGTCTCACTTATGCAGAAGGCCTAGTCCAGTCCTATGCAGGCTCCACAGCTGTTGATCTAAATAGCTTTCCCATCATGATCTTGATACCCCTTGCTCATAGAATCCCTTTTCTCTCTCTTTGACTAGACTCCTGGAGCTTGGTCTGGTGTTTGGCTGGGGAGCTCTGTATCTGCTTCCATCAGTTACTGGATGAAAGCTCTATGATGACAGTTAGGGTATTCACTGATCTGATTACTGGAGTAAGCCAATTCAGGCACCCACGGTGACTTTCAATATATATATGTAGGACCAAGGGGGTGAGTTACAGTATGCATATACCAGCCATAAGGCGATAAATAGAATATGTATATGGGACTGGGTAGCAACTCACGCTCTTGCAAAACAGAAAAGGATGCACAGGGGTTTGTTATGTCATTCATAATGGTGCACAATTTAAAACTTAGGATTCGTTTCTGAAATTTTCTATTTATTACTTTTGGGCCATTGTAGCTAATAGTGGAATATATAAAGGTAAAATTTTTTTAGATAATGGAGAGATAATTGGACTTTAAATTCACACCCCTGGTATCCCAGCTATATTGACTAGCCAATCCCATACGAATTTCTCCAACTCATGATCAATATTTTGTAATTAGACCAAATGCATTGATTCCTCTTTAAGAAGTTTCCAGAAGGCTACTTTATCCCTTAGGTGAAAGTTTTGGGTAGGATTCCATCATGTTTTCCAGAACTGACTCTACTTCAGGTTACATTGGGACGAGATAGCTTGTGTACACTGATTTGTAGTTGATATAGTCAGGTGTGTATAATGCTACCCAGGAGAAGGCCTACAGGACTTAAGGATGGACTCACTCACTGCCCATGCTTAGTCCCATGTTTTAATTGTTTTAAACTTTTATTATGTGTACATGTGTGTTTGTGTCTCTGTGAATGTATGTGTGTGCTGGTATATGTGCTTGTAGGTATACACAGAGACCAAAAAAGGATCTAACATCCTTCAGACATGGAGTTATAGTTGTCTTCTGGATATCTGACTTGTTATATGGGTGATGGGATCTAAACTCTGGTCCTAATGATTATGAAACAAGTACTTTTAACCACTGGGCCATCTCTTCAGCCCTCTTAGCCTCAGTTTGATACCTGATCTATATTCAGGCATAGTACTCATTTCTATAGACTCTCTTGTACTTCAGGGTATACACATCACTTAGGATTTACAATTTTTTTCCTTCACAATAGAGCAAATGTCTTTATTCTATTGGTTCACACATAATAGCCCTTCTTCCTGTAACTCTTGAAAACATTACTTTTTAACTTACAACCATACCCCAGTTACACTAGCTGTTTTTCAAATAATCTCTTATTGAATCTTTTGTATGCTAGCCGTGTTATTTCCATGTTACAGGTAAGTCAACTGAGGCACATAATTCTAAAGGCAGAATCTCTTCAAGGCACATAACTGATAAAGAGAAGTGAGGACCAAACTGGTCTTTCTGACTTGTAGGTCCCTGCTTCAAATTAAAGCCCACTACTTAACTTCGAGAATCCCAGGAAGTCTGTACTCTCTACTGGCATTCTTACAATGTGCTTCACCTGAATGGCTCATATGCTGCATAGCATCAGTCCTCAGGGACCTTCTCTATCAGCCTACTCTGCTGCCCACCACAGCCACATGTCATCAGTATAAATTCTGTTGTCCTTATTGATGCTAGTTTGTGTAAAACCCACCTTTTGTGAATCAATTCCTAATTATACTGATAAGTTCATTGGGACAAGAATATAATACCAGTTCTCCAAAATGACATCTATAAATGCTCTATTTTCAGATAAAGTAAAACCTATGTAAGCATACACAAAATACCTCTGGCTGTTATCGAGAGGCCGGATAAAGCATTCTATGTCCTGATAGTAACCATGTTTGTCAGTGTATGCTCTTCAGTCTGCAATCTTCACTCTTGTATCTCCCAGCCACATCTTAATAAAAGAATGATCACAATTTTCTTCTCCATTATATCTAATGATGCTGAAATTTTAAAGAATGAAAGGGGAAAATGACTAGAAGCAGAACATCGTAGAATATTTGGATGCATTTGGCCTGGAAATTAGTAGATCTGAAATCCTCTCAGAGCTGTGACTCTATGCTCAGTAGGTTCTGAAAGCTGCAACTTTTTTCTTTTTTTCGAGACAGGGTTTCTCTGCATAGTTTGGTGCCTGTCCTGGATCTCACTCTGTAGACCAGGCTGACCTCTAGCTCACAGAGATCTACCTGCCTGGCTCTGCCTCCGAAGAGCTGGGATTAAAGGCATGTGCCACCACCACCAGGCAACTTTTATATGCTGAGTGAGGATAATACCAGAACATTACACTGCTATGCTGTTGTTGTTATTACTATTAACACTGAGACACGACAGTGAGAAATTAGCCTAGATACTGGAGTTTATAAATGCTCTGGGGGAAGCTGTTCTAATATGTTCTCAATATCCAAGTAGAGACACATGCTTTTTCTATTTACCTGTAGAGCCCCTTCCAGGGAACATAACACTAAGGCAATCCAGCTATTGCAGAAATAGTCAGCGTTTGTGGTATTCACCCTTGAAGGTGGCTACCATTATCTGCCTAATGGAAGCTTTTATATTTAGGAAACTTAGTTGCAAGACACAAATGTGAGCTTCACATGGGATAGAAGGATATCTCAGTCTTGATATACCCAGCATGCACTACACCAAGTTGCTCTACAAAGTGATTACTTTAAGTAATAAATGAAGGGATGATGTTATATTCCCCAGTGAAGCCAAGAGTCAGTAGTAGTCCAGGAAAGAATCAGAGATGTATTTCATGTAGTTTTTTTTTTAGGAGATTAATCATTGGAACTATGTTACTACAAAATCAAACTTAGGTACAAGTTCCCTTAAGATCCAAAGTTCAACCAGATAATTTGATGTACAAGGATGTACATCTTACAGTATTTTCCCTGGATTCATTTATTCATGTTTTTCATCAAGCTATGAGTAGCCCTGTCTATTCTTTTCTCGTAGTCTTAGCACTCATGAAATGTATTTGATAAATATTCACAGTTTCAGTCACTCTGATGAGCCAGATATTTACTCTGATAAAGCTGCCAGAAATCAAAGCATTACAAGAATATTTTTATTATTACTTTTAGGCCCACATGTGTGTAATTTGCTAAAAACATTTTCACTCTTGGAGCCAGTGTACTGCTTAATGTGATCCTTACAAGAGCCAGAGGATCATCATAGCACATTACAGTACATTACATTAATACACTGTAAAGAATGATAATCAACCACACTTAACACTAAAGAAATGGACACTGGAAGAAGTTAAGGGCTTTTACAAGGTCAGCCTCTTGAATGTAAGAACATCAACTCTCAACATCTATCCCCAAATTCTGTTTTTGTGTGTGTGTGGTGTGTTTGTGTGACTATACCGATATCTTCAAAAATGGAAAGTTACCACCTGGGGAAACATTTGGTATTTGGGAAAAATCTCAAAATTCATTAAGAATTAATTATAAATAAGGGGGGATCACTGAATTAGAAAATAGCGCAGGTTGTATTGTTTTGTTTTGCTTCTACTAAAATCAACATAGTACACTCAGCCAATGAACCGTATTTTCTTAAATGGTTCACAAATGAGTCTGTAGACAGTTTGGGGAAACTAGCTCTGGAGTGTTGTGAGTGGTGACCATCTGTAAAAGACTCATCTGGGGCTGTTTAGGAGAATCAGGTTCATTCACAACGGGCAAAGGCTCAAACAGGGGCCCAGGAATCCTGAGCCTGGAGCCCAGGCTCTATTCATTCATAGGAGTACACAGCACAACTGCATTTATTGTTCACTTTATTAATCCAGAGCAAGGAATAAGGGTTGTGTTCTTCACTTAGGAAACTTCCCCAGCCTTTCTTAAGTAGGCAACAAGGCTCAAGGCAGCTGTTGGTAATCTAAACAGAAAACTGCCTAGCTTCTCTATGGACCTTAATGTAAAAGGTCAAGCAACTGAAGCAGAAGCCCTTGTATGTGAATTCCGTAACAGCTGCATCCCTCTGGCCTATCTGTTACTAGGCCAAGGAGCAAACGTTACGTCATTCACAGACCAGAGGCACCGGGATATCCTGACAGTGCTAATTGACCAGGCTGAATCATTTCACCCTTAGGGATAAACACCATGTGCTGTGTGCTTCTGGTGCACGGGAGATGGTAATCACAACACGATACTCTTAATTTTGACTTCTGTGTCCATGGTGAAACTATTACCTACTATCAGGGTTCTACATTCCATATCTGTCAAATAACGAGGGCAGTCTACAAACTTCACAGCATGAAGGAAGCAGCCAACAAAAATATCAAAAGTAACCTTTACTCTTGGCACGCTAGTGTTCGTTTTTCCCCAGGTAGGTACTGTGTAAGGAAATTTCATAGGTTCCACCTTTTATATTGCAATGAGGTTGTTGGAGGCTGTCCAGAGAGACAATAGAGTCAGGTGAACCACGCTGAGGTGAGAAGGAGATAAACATTTCTAAACACCAAAGCAGATATTGAAGGAAATGGGAAACCAGAGGTTGATAAATACAAAGTAGTTGTTATCATCTGGCAAACACAGCTGCAAAGCAAAATAGTAAAGCAAAACAGATGAGCGTGAGGTTAAGGAAAGACGAACCAAGGTCAGAGTCTTCTTAGACCCACTGCTGTGGAAAGTCAGTGTTTGGACAAATTAGGAGCTAAAAATATTGAAGAGCCCAGATTAGCTCCCTGAGAATGAGATCAGAAAACCTCAGTGTCTGAAAGGTTTTCCCTCTGCTGCATGGAAAGAGAAGATTCTAAAATCAATTAATTGTGTACTGGATCTTTCATCAATAAGACCAACAGCCACAAACGTGTAGGTAAGGCCTTACAGAATAGGATATTTACAATTATTTATAGATTTTCTATTAGATGTAAATTTAACACATGCCATAAGATGGCCAGAGGGAAGGCAGAAGTCAGTTTCCTTTTGGAAGCATGGCTGTGGAGATACCCTCTCTAGTTTAAATTTATTTTTAATTTTTATATTTTTTTCCTCTGTGTGTGTGTGTGTGTGTGTGTGTGTGTGTGTGTGTTATGCATACACATGGGGAGAGCATGCAAAAGAGACCAGAGAAATAAATCAGTGTCACTCTCTGCCTTATTGCCTTGAGACAGGGTTTTTCGCTGAACCCAATGCTCATCTTTCCACACAGGCTGACTACCCAGTGAGCTTTTGGGACCTACCTGTCTCTGCCTCCCAGTGCTGGGGGTTACAAGTATGCATCGCTATTCCTGGACTTTTACGTGGATGTTGGGGCGTGAAACTCAGGTCATCATATTTTCACAGCACATGCTCTTATACACTGAGCCATCTCCACAGCCCCTGGAGATGCCCTTGCTCTCCTCAACTCTAGTATCATGTGATTTATTGACTTCGCAATTCAGATTCACTAAGTGTTTTCCCAACTACACTGTACATACTCATCATACTAATTACAAATCCTTATAACAGAGGAGAGTAGATGGTGACATTGCCTCACAATCACTGTCATTGTCATCAAACTGAAACACTAACTTTAGTCATCAGGGAATCAATTTACTCATAACTCATATCAAACACCATCTGGCTTCCTGTCTATTTTCCAAATGTACAGAGTTTCCAGTGTTGGCCTTTGCTTTCTCCTCTTGCTGCTTCTATTTATTTGAGTAGCACCTACTTCATGTTTAGGCAAGCATTACGTTGAGAGAAATGTTTACTGAAGCTACTTTTCTTTAAAAAGATTTTATTGTTTGAATATTCACTATTTTCTGCAGACTGAAATATTGAAACTTGGTATGTACCCACCTCATGACCTTATATTGGGAAGTGGAGATTTTGGAAGTTAAGGTCTGGTTTGAAGAAAAAAAGGTCACAGGGCAGGATACTCTCAGGCCTTAAATCTCATCCCCAGTCACTTCCCTTCTCTGCTTCTTATCTTCCAGGATACCAGCTATTTTATTCTATCATACACTCCCTGCCATGTGATCAGTTTGCCTCAAGACCACATCAATGAAACCATGAAGCATGGACCAAAGCCTATGAACCAAGAGTCAAAATAAATATATCCTCAAGTTGATTTTGCTCAGGTATTTGTCATAGTAATAGAAAGACTAGCAGTTGGTGACAAAAATATTATTGTGGTGATATTGTGTTCCCAATATATTGCACCCTAATAAACTTATCTGGGGTCAGAGAACAGAACAACCACTAGATATAGAGGCCAGAAAATGGTGGCACATACACCTTTAATCCTAGCATTCTGAAGGCAGAGATCCACCTGGATCTCTGTGAGTTCAAAGCCACACTAGAAACAGCCAGGCATGGTGACTCACACCTTTAATCTGAGGAAGTGATGACAGGAAGCAGAAAGGTATATAAGGTGTGAAAACCAGGAACTAGAGCCTATTAAGCTTTCAGGCTTTTGAGCAGCACAGTCCAGCTGAGATCCATTCCGATGAGGACGCAGAGGCTTCCAGTCTGAGAAAACAGGATCAGCTGAGGAAATGGCAAGGTGAGGTAGCTGTGGCTTGTTCTGCTTCTCTGACCTTTCAGCCCCAATACCTGGCTTCAGGTTTGATTTTATTAATAAGAACTTTTAAGATTTGTGTTATATATTATAAATACTAAATAGACTATCACAGAATTATAAAAAATTAAATAATCATGTATGAAAACAAAACTTTGTCTGTTCAGTGTGTTCCCCTGCTAGACTGGAATATCCTTGAGCTTTGACCTCAGGCACACAAAAACTGTTAATCTCATGTGTTTCTCTATCCTGGTAGGAAAAAAAATCATTATACCTGGCCCAGGACTAAAAGGGGTTCCTAGGATTTGAGACCTTATGTCTAAAACAAGAAAAACCTTGGGCAAACTAGCACCGTTTACTGGCTTACCCATTTTTAAAACTCTCCATGGTGCACTTAGAAAACAATTGATGAAATGGGGAAGCCTTACCTTCTTCCTACAGTGGTGCAGATGTTTAGAGAAAAATGATGGGACTGGCATGTGCAGGATTGTGCTACAGCTGTGGTCATCCCCTCGCTGGAACTGTCCCCTGAATTCCTTTAGAGCTGGCAAAACAACAACTGGCTCATTCAAATTCTCAAAGCATTCCGAGCCCCACAGGAAGTCTTGAGAGAGATGGGTACAGAAGCTTCATCTTGACTCTTGACAATAACACAGGAAGAGCGGGACCCTCTGCTTCCAGCTGCAGGTCCTTGGATTAGTCTCTAAACGCTCCAAGACCTCTGCCTGCAACTTGAAAAAGTGTGAACTTTCCTTTTTTCCTTTCTCACCAGTTTTGAAATTCCTTGGTGTCTCCTATAACCATAGCCCCCCAACAAGGAGAGTCACACAAGCAGGCCACTGTACAGCCAGAGGTATAGTAGGGATAAATTTCTAACCTAGGACCTTAAATGAAATGACTTAGAAAAGCCATATTCCCTATGAGGGGTCCACTGCTACCCAGAGCCATATTACACATTAGGACTAGATTAATGCTGGCCTGGTGATGGTTGTTTCCACTGTCTCACACATCTCCAAACTGTCACAGGCCTGCATGGATATGTCCTTTCCATTATGCTAAAGCCACGGGAATGAAGAATGTCAACTGCTGTGGTGATATTATGTTCCCCAAAATATTGTGCACCTAATAAACTTATCTGGGGTCAGAGAACAGAACAGCCACTAGATATAGAGGCCAGAAAATGGTGGCACACACACCTTTAATCCTAGCATTCCAGAGGCAGAGATCTGCCTGGATCTCTGTGAGTTCAAGGCCACACTGGAAACAGCCAGGAGTGGTAACAAGAGCCTTTAATCCCAGGAAGTGATGGCAGAAAGCAGAAAGATATATAAGGTGTGAAAACCAGGAACTAGCCTGGTTAAGCTTTAGGCTTTTGAGAAGCAGTTCAGCTGAGATCCATTCGGATGAAGACACAGAGGCTTCCAGTCTGAGGAAACAGGATCAGCTGAGGAATTGGCAAGGTGAGGTGGCTGTAACTTGTTCTGCTTCTCTGATCTTCCAGCCTTAACCCAATACCTGGCTCCAGGTTTGCTTTTATAAATAACACCATTTAAGACTCATGCTACAAACTGCTTTCTCACTTCTCATCCTGTCCATGTTTGGATTTTCTCCAGCATGTCATCCACCAAGGATCTGCAGTCTTTTCTGTTTTGTCTGTCTATATTATTTAGTCTTTATCACAGAGAGCTAACATATCCCTCACAGAGTGAAGATAACCATGGGCAATATAAAGCCAAAGAGAAGTGGCTACATTCAAAAAACCAATTCACAGACACTAAAATGTGAAGTTCAAAAACTTTTATGATTTGTTTCACATGTGTGAAACATGAAGACTATAGTTAACTTGGAGGTGGTAGAAGAGTGTGCAAGGTTGGTTTTTTCCCACAGATAGACTTTGTTCTCTGCGATATGAGGATAAGGATTCTCTCAGTTAGGCTGCTTAGAAATGAAACTCAGATGTAGCCTTTAATTATACCTGAGTGACTTGGGTTAAGTTTTTAAGCTCCCATACTCTCAGTACTAAAATGTTTCCATTTCTGTGAAATGTGAGTTACCTAGTGCCTATATTACAGAGCTGTGTTGAGAATCAGATGCTACAATGCCTCGTTCTTAGTTACCGTTCTTGTTATTCTGATAAAACACCCGATAGAAGCATCTCAAGGGAGGAGAGGTTTATTTTGTCTCACAGGTCTAGAAGGATTTCAGTTTCTCATCATGGGAGCACCAATGACTGAAGCACCTCTGACCTTGGAGACAGGAGCACATCACAGAGTTCCTCACATGTCCAACGGACCAGGAAGCATACAGACAGTCCAGAAACAAGGCTGCACAATGACATTCAAAAATCTGTCCCCGGTGTCCCCTCTCAAGCAGCCAAGTACAACTGAAGATTCCACAGCATCATAAAACAGTACCACTATCTTAGAACCAGGTGTTCAAACACAGGAGCCTGTGTGGAGATGTTTAAGATTCAAGCCATACCAGCCTGAAAGGAAAATACAACATTGTTCATGATATGATAAAGCACCCAATAGCTTATAATTCTTATCCTTATCTTCATACAACTCTTATGTCTAACATTGCCTCCCTCCAGTGCTTAGAAGGTAAATTTTAAACTCCATGGCAGAGATGCAAAGCCTTTTTCTTGAATCTCATCTCCACCATTGCCTGGTAACCTGTGAGGTTATCCCCTGATTCACTCTGATTGTCTGACTACCATATTGTTTCATATGTATTTGAGCCTCTCTGGTCTCTACTCTGTTTCTCATGGAAGCCCTTTTCTCTATTTCTACCTTCTCTTCACATTTAAACCCATCCTCTTTGGTGCTCACATCACCTTCTGTGGTTCCCCACTTACCATATGCTCATCTCTGTCTTCATTCCTTTCACACTGAAATCAGAAAAGACATGGTTATCTAACAGCTGCTATTGGACTCTGAGCTCATTGTAGACAGGCACTGTCAGCTTTTTAAATCATTCTCTTTGAGGTGTTTATAACACTGCCTGGCATGAGGCAACATGTGATAAATACAAGTGGAGAAAGAAGAGAGGGAAAGAAAGTTAAAAGAGAGAAGCAACCTGATGAAATGGGCTTGAGAGTAGGCATTACTGAAATGCTGTGTTCTAAATCAGCAGCTCAAATCACCTCTCCCATCACCAGCGCCCTCTGGACAGGAAAATAATGTCAAATATAACATCAGTTTGTCTTTTTTTTTTTTTTTTTTTTTTTTTAGGTTTTTTTTTTTTTTAGGTTTTTTGAGACAGGGTTTCTCTGTGTAGCTTTGCGCCTTTCCTGGATCTCGCGCTGTAGACCAGGCTGGCCTCGAACTCACAGAAATCCGCCTGCCTCTGCCTCCCGAGTGCTGGGATTAAAGGCATGCGCCACCACCGCCCGGCTCAGTTTGTCTTTTTATAAGCTATGTACACTATGTCTGTCTGATTTCAGGAGCAAAATCAGTGTCTTCATCTATAGAATCAAGAAGATTATGTGCACTTGTCTGACTCTGGGAGTCCTATGGACTTGAGGATCTGGTTTCCATTGGTTAGGCACCCATCTGCTGAGGTGTTTTCTTAAGCATAATTTTTTTTATAATAATTGCTTAATTATTTATTCACTGACAATAAATACCATAAGGTTATATAGTATTTTTTAAGATATCAGGCTTTGTAGCTTGAGTTTTCCTGCCTGGCCCACAGTCAGGACAAATCTCTCTCACCTGCCAGTCCCACAGCTGCTCAGACCCGACCAAGTAAATGCAGAAACTTATATTGGTTAAAAACTGTATGGCGGTGGCAGGCTTCTTGCTAACTGTTCTTACATCTTAAGTTAATCCATTTCCATTAATCTATACCTTGCCACGTGGCTCGTGGCTTACCGGCATCTTCACATGCTGTTTCTCATCATGGCGGCTGGCAGTGTCTCTCTGACTCAGCCTTCCACTTCCCAGCTTTATTCTCCTCCTTGTCCCGCCTACACTTCCTGCCTAGCCAATGGCCAATCAGTGTTTTATTTATTGACCAATCAGCAACACATTTGCCATACAGAACATCCCACAGCAAGGCTTGTTTATTTTCATAGAATTTCATAATCATTTATGCCATATGTCTATTCTTGACATTTTTTTTTCTTTCTGCTTTTTTTTTTATTTTGCAATACAATTCAGTTCTACATATCAGCCACAGATTCCCTTGTTCTCCCCCCTCCCGCCCCCCTCACCTTCCCCCAGCCCACCCCCCATTCCCACCTCCTCCAGGGCAAAGCCTCCCCCTCGGACTGAGATCAACCTGGTAGATTCAGTTCAGGCAGGTCCAGTCCCCTCCTCCCAGGCCGAGCCAAGCGACCCTGCATAGGCCCCAGGTTTCAAACAGCCAACTCATGCAATGAGCACAGGACCCGGTCCCACTGCCTAGATGCCTCCCAAACAGATCAAGCCAATCAACTGTCTCACCCATTCAGAGGACCAGATCCAGTTGGGGACCCCTCAGCTATTGGTTCATAGTTCATGTGTTTCCATTCATTTGGTTATTTGTCCCTGTGCTTTATCCAACCTTGGTCTCAACAATTCTCACTCATATAAACCCTCCTCTTTCTCGCTAATTGGACTCCCAGAGCTCCACCCGGGGCCTAGCCATGGATCTCTGCATCCAGATCCCTCAGTCGTTGGATGGGGTTTCTAGCACGACAATTAGGGTATTTGGCCATCCCATCCCAGAGTAGGTCAGTTCGGGCTGTCTCTCGACCATTGTCATCAGTCTGTTGTGGGGGTATCTTTTTGGATTTCTGTGGACCTCTCTAGCACTTTGCTTCTTCCTATTCTCATGTGGTCTTCATTTACCATGGTCTCTTATGCCTTGTTCTCCCTCTCTGTTGTTGATCCAGCTGGGATCTCCTGCTCCCCCAAGCTCTCTTTCCCTCGACCCTCGCCCTTCATTACCCCCACTCATGTCCTGGCTGTTCCTCTAGATCTCTTCCATTTCTCCGTCATTGGACGATCCCCGTGTCTTTCTTGGGGTCCTGTTTTCCAGGTAGCCTCCCTGGTGATGTGAGTAGCAGTCTAGTCATCTTTGTTTTACATCTAGTATCCTCCTATGAGTGAGTACATACCATGTTTGTCTTTCTGAGTCTGGGTTACCTCACTCAGGATGATTTTTTCTAGAGCCATCCATTTGCCTGCAAACCTCATGATGTCATTGTTTTTCTCTGCTGAGTAGTATTCCGTTGTGTATATGTACCACATTTTGTTTATCCATTCTTCAGTTGAAGGGCATCTAGGTTGTTTCCATGTTCTGACTATTACAAACAATGCTGATATGAACATAGCTGAACAAGTGATCTTGTGGTATGATTGAGCATTCCTTGGGTATATGCCCAAGAGTGGTATAGCTGGACTTAAGCATAATTTTAAATGAGTTTCTTGGACCTTCCCAGGTACACTAACCATTTGGAGAAAGGAATGGAAATAAAGATAGGCTTTCTGGATGGGTTTAGGAGGGTTAACTGTCTATATTAGAACAACTAATTAAATTGGTATTGTTTTTATATTGGATATTGAACCCAGTGCTTCATATGTACTAGACAAGCACTCTATCTCTGAGCTACATCTTCAACCCCTTCCCCTTTTGAGTATTGCTATTTTGAGTGAGAATCACACACATTATTCAGCCAAACATATTGAGTAGAAAAAAATAAAGAATGCACAGATTTTTCGATCTCATGTGCTTGTTATGACAGAGGTGTGAAATGCATTAGTCAGCTTGGCTACCTGATGATTATGTCATTAACTGGACTCTTTAACTCCTTCAAAATAAAAGGGAAGTACAGATGCTATTAAAATAGTGCCAAAAGAAATTAGGAAAACTGATGAAGTTCGTGAGCTTGTAAGTAAACATACAGTAAAAAGATTTAAAAGAATACTCAACTTATACAGTAAAGAGATTAAAGTTAATATCCAACTCATCTTCCATTGTAACCCAAAGAATGTATAAATAGCTGTTTTTAAATTTTGGAGCTGTAAAGTCAGTCACAATGGCACCTACCTGCAATGCTGGTGTTTAGGAGTGTGGGGCATGAATTCAAGGCCATTTTTGGCAGAGAATCTTTGAATACCATCCCCATGTTTCTCACACACACAGAGACAAGTAAGAGCTGTAGCTACTTTCTTGACAATAAAGCTGAATATAAAGCCATAGTTCAAATTTTCTTTCAGTCAGGAATGGCAGAACTGAGGAGTTGCACAAACATGGTAACACACAAACACACACACACACACACACACACACACACACACACACACACACACACCCTAGAAATTATATGCATGTGTTCTGTATCTTTTTATCATCCACCATATGTCTCTTAACATTTATAAACATTGCAAACTCCCTGCCTTTATGTGACCTAAAAATCTTTGAAAAGAAGAAAAACCACAAATCGATTTCTATATTGATACTTACCTATATAATCTCCAGTAAAAAATTACTTATTGAAATAAGTATAACTAACAAAAATTATTAAAAACCTATTTAGTTATGTGTCACAAAAGACCACTCTAAGCCTGGCATTCATCCCTTTGTATAACCCTTTGATATTTGATGGAACAGGAAGGAAACAGCATTGCTCATTGTATTTGTTAGAGGGAGCCCAAGCAGCAGCTTGAACCAATGAGCTTTAGCATTTGCTCAATTTAGCATTGTTTAAGTAAGGATCCATGGAGACCACTATACATTGAATTAGAAAAGGTTCTGATACTCAAGTAAACATATTCTGCTGCTCCAGCAACAGAAAGTTTGGTCAGTGGCCAGAGAGAGAGTGACAGGAGCTGCAGGAAGTCAGTTAGGAGGAGGTGACACAGAAGCAGGAATGATGGACAGATGGAAAGGAGAATATGGCTGCACAACCCACAGAAGTGTCTGTCTTGGACTTGGGACTGATTGAATGTAAAGACTGAGGAGAGGAAGATGTTCAAGGAAGAGCCCAGATTCTAGGTTAGGAAGTTGTAGGGTTGATGAGGACTTTCCTGTGATGGCTTGAGACACAAGTTCAAATTTCAATGTCCTACTTAAGGTACTTAAGAGAACAGGTGTTCCAGATGCAATGGGATTTAAGATGCTACGATTCACAACAGATGCATATTTCAATAGTACCAGAGTGTAAATGACTGGACTCTAGAAAATAAGAAGTTCAAGTATTAATCATGTGTTAGAAACATGCTCTGTGTTATTTCCTCAGCCCAATAAGTAGCTGAGTATGGGCAAGATTTCATCTAACAGTAGTTGCTACAGACCTCTCAAGGTATTCTGCCTCAGTGTATTGCTACTGTGCTATTCACAAATACAGTCAGTGCTTAATCAATATTTATGATTTACTCATTTGTTTGTTTGTTTGTTTTATTGCTGGGGACTACACCCTTGCTAAGCCAACTCTTTCCCACCAAACTAAAGTCCCAATCCCTTAATTAATGAGAATATACAAACTTCATTTTTCATATTTTTGTAAATTAATTTGATCAACCGAAAAAATGTGATTTGTCTACAGAGAGCTATGAATGTAACTACTGGTCTATGAATGAAAAAAAAACTTAAAATCGAAATTTTTGTCACTTATTTGTACATGATCATAGGAAAATTCCTTTCTATTTGTAATTTTCCATCTCTGCAATGATAAAATCATGAGATGGCGTCTCTTCAAGTTGTGGTATTTTGTGCTGACTATAACTTTCAGTGGGGAGACATCTGTTTTATTGGCTGTTTCACCTGGTAATTTATCCCCCTTTAAAAATGTCCATGTGGGAAACCTCTCCTTGCACATCAGAATATAATGCAGTAAGTGAAGATTTCTTCTCTCTCCATAGTAATTTTTTTATGGAAAGAACTTAGTTGATATTTCAGTTC